AATTTCCATATTTCTATGTATATCCCATTGACAAAAAGTAAGTAATATTAATATCGCGCTTTTTATAATTTTTTTTTTACACGCTGCATGCTATTGAACGGCAATATAACAGCAACTTTTTCAGGTGAGGCTTGCAATGCACATACATACATACATACATATGTGCCTTACATATACATATATATATGCATGTGGATGGATGCATTGTTACTCTACTTATACCTACGTGTGGGCCATAGGTTGCTACAATCGCCCCTACCTAGCCCACGGTTGCTACACATTGGCATCTGGCAACAAACTGGCCACTTGAAATTCTGGCACTTTATCAACTTCAACGGGGTTTCCTCCACTCCGCTCGTTTGGCTTAATGTCAATAGCCCGCGCTACACTGCATTCGACAATGCCATGGCTGGATAGGGACTTGGGGGCAAGAGTTCAAGTGTGCTCAAGTATTTTGCCGTTCACTTTATCTACATGTCAACACTTTTGGTCACCTCACTCGATGCTTGTTTTATTCATATTTCCATTTTAAATGTGGAAAAAGTATTCGAGTAACATTAAGTGCTTCAGCTTTTGGTAATTCCCCACTTATGATAGCATAAATAATACACGAATACATATTTAATAATGCAAAGATGTACAAAGCAGCAAATGGTGCGAAAGCAAAGGAACAAACTGCTCGGACGCTATGGAGCACTGCAAGGTCAGAAAGTAATGAAAGTACAGACGAGGGGCTCATAAAAAGTGAATGGGTTTCATTCTAAATGTTTACTGCAACTATGTACTTCGTTTTCGAATGTTCCTAAATAAAATGCAGAAAATATGAACAAATATTTATTTAGTTATACGGAAGGAAATAATAGCTACGATAGGGAAGTGGGAAAACGCAAATTGTAACTCTTGAATATTAAATATACAATGTTGCCCTTCCGCGGTGCAAAACGTCTTTGGTGTTAGACTCAAAAATGAAAAAGTGGGTACAATTGTACCCTTTTCCGACGTTCGATGACTTAAAGGTACATTAGGTATAATCTTTTGATCAGATGCATTTTTAGTTTTTTTTTTTTTCCTTGGGAGAAACTTCGCTTTCATTTTGAAGAATAAACAATTCTAAATAAAAGTGATCAAAAGGAAGAATAAAAAAAAATCGTATTATGTATTCTCTTAAACATTTTACATTGCATTTAGAACAGCCTCTACGAAAAATTAACACCTTACTTAGCTATCCTCAAATTCGCAATTCTTGCTATATTTTTCATATTCGAAATTTGAAAAAATTTCTCCCCCTCGAATGACGGTGTGACGCTCTACCTTTGTAATTGTTGGAACAAATTTTTTATCTATTGAAACCATAAAAGCTAGAGTTCTCCGCATATGATAACACTTTTAACATTTATATTAATTTTATTAGCCCATACAGTCCTCTGTCTAGGATTTCTTCAAATTTCATATTTTCTGTAGTTGAGACAATAACTAAATATTTGACCCATATTCGCTTTTTAATTTCTGGAAATATATTTAAAATGCATTCGAAATTACTTACGGAAATTCCAATTATTTTCTCTAGGCTTGCTACACTAATTAAAGGGAATCGGATAAATTAGCAGACTTTTCCTGTTGTTCTATAAAACGCTGGACAAAAAAGGAAACTTCACAATGTTTGGTTTTTGTCTTTTTCGCCAATATTTTTCAGTAGTTCAAATTAGGCAAAAACAAAGCTTCTCCTGGTCCTGCCCTCTCGCCGAGTTATTAAAGACTGTATTGTGGTTATGTGAGTTTTTTTTGTTGCTGGCTGAAAGACTGAATATGACCCGAGGGCAAGGTTGAAGTAAAAGAATGAACTTCTTCTTACCGTTGCCGGAAAGAAAATGTATTACAAAACGTTTTCGCTTAAAAACAAATGTATGCGTGACTTGTACTTTAAAATTCCCACACAAGTTGGTCGATGTATGAATGGCAGAACAGGTGCTGATATTAATGGATCTGGAATCAAAAATGCAATTCCAATGGATAGAAGACCAACGCCATTACCAATTTAGCTTTGACAAAAATTAATGGGTGATTTTCCGTTAGTTTGTTAGATAACGGCTGTCCGCCACACTCATCCAACAGGTGGATCACAAATAAAAACTTTTTAAAGACAGCACGATTAAAATTTTGGCAGCAAGAAACATGGTAACACTCTGCTGGAGGCCAGGCTCGAAGGCAAAGAGTTTGCCGACTAGTTGGCACGATCGTCAACTTTCTTTTTGAGGTTTGTTCTTTTTAAAGCATCTACAGGGGGAGCCTTTAAAATAAGGCATTCGCCTTTCAAAGCCCTTTTTATAATTTATTAAGGAAGCTGAAGGTATCTTTGGCTTAGGGGTTATGTACTCTCTTTCGGGATACCAAAGATCATTACAGTTGCAGTTTTCTACACCCAAATGTTTAATTAACCAATTAACTAGCTACCAGTACATACGGCATTTGGGCTAAAATGAGTAACAAATAAATAATTTATTTTGAAACGAATTTCCGTCATCTCTTGTCAAGTTTGGTTTGGAGACAAACCGGTTCCGTTATTGTGCCATTTTCAGTTCCAAAATAAATTATCTTACCATCCAGTCGGGAAAAATCAACCAAAAACAACATATAATAAATTGATATTTATTTTCTAAATATGTAAATATGTTTATACATACAGCTGTGATCAATAAAGTGGTAGTTAAATTCAAAATGATATTTGCAACTTATGTTTATTTATTTATTTTTTATAAGTTTCATTGAAAATATAGTTCGATCTTTAACAGAAACCACATAAATTAAAGTTTTAAGGTTTGCACAAAGCTCACAAAAATTAATCAAACTTCAAAATAATTTTCTTCAAAATTTCAAATTTTTTATTCAGAGTTTCTAGAACATACGCATAGTACGCAGTTTTGTAGCTTATTCTTTTTTAGTATAATGAAGTGCTAGTTTCAAGTCACTAAAAATTACCGTTGATTTTTTTAGAATTTTTTTGTCGAGGGTGTTTAGCATTTTCTTTCATAGAAGGTATGAACAAAATCTTTTTTCATATGGAAGAAATTACGAAACACCCTGTAGAAAAAAATTCTAAAAAATCAAGGGTAATTTTTAGTAACTTGAAACTCGCATTTCGTTATATTAAAATTGAATGGGCTACAAACTGCGTACTCTAAAATGTTCTAGAAATTTTGAATAAAAAGTTTAAAATTTTGGAGAAAATTTTTTGGAGTTTGATTAATTTTTGTGAACCTTGTGCAAACTTTGATAATTTTTATTTATGTAGTGTCTGTTATAGATCGAACTATATTTTAAATGACAATTATAAAAAGTAAATAAGCATTAGCTGCAAACAACATAATTTTGAATTTTGATACTATTTTATAGATCGATGCTGTATTTGTACATACATTTTGATATAAATCAAACCTAACGGTCTGTTCGTTACTAAAATATGTCAACTACTGTATGTATTTATATAATAACCCGACCAAATGAGTTTATGAATACCAGTTATTACTTTACTTAATTAAAATCACTCATACGCCCCGACGCACTAATACGTAAATATTAACGCCGCGTTTATATGTCTTGTGGGCGGATACTAAATTCGATTAGATTTTTATGAAATTTGGTATTTCGAAAATGATGAGGATTGACAGAATATCATGTCTAATAAATGAGTTTTTTAACTTTACCTGCAAAGAAAAGAGATTTAACATTGGCCAACTGTATAAAAAAGAAAATACAATTAATTGAGAGCCCTTTGCTCAGATCTCAAAAAACCCAAATTTGGCAATATCTCAACAGCTGTTTTGCTTTTTTATATTTTGAGTTCGTTTTCGGATTCAGCGGAATAACTATTTTACATTACAATTCATATAACAATGTGGCAGGGCGGAGCATTTTTTATTTCGTGTAAGCTTGTTACGTCACAGATCCTTTAATTGAATTCTTAAAATAATTTACAGTAATTCAATAAAATGACAGTTCTATATTTTCGCTTTCTCTATGAACAAAAACTATTTCTATTTATTTATTCGATTTATCATTGCCTAAGTATTTGATATAGCGCGCCATTAAATATGGAATGATAAATTTGTTTTACGCTGACCTCCTCCATTCCAACATTGCTTATTGTGTTTCAGCAGCAACTATGTGAACGAGCGAGAGTTCAAAATCCGACCAAAATTATTGTAAAGCTTATTAATGAAGGTCAGGCAGACAATGTTTCATTCGAAGCCCCACATTCTTGCGCTCTCGTGTGCAACGAGTACGAGTAGTACGAAACATTAAATAGTCTGTCGCGTGTCATTGAGAACGATATGAACGAAAATGAAAAGAGTGATGCTTGCGTTGGGAATAAAAAAAAAAAAATATGTTTATACGAGCAGTAAAATGGACAATACGTGTAAGTGTGTGTGCGTGTGTGTGCGCCAAAGTCAAACGGAAAGGGCATCGCATGAAAGCGTAAAATATTGACACTTTTTCGCAACATTGAATTCGGTCACTGAGCAATTGCGATTAAGGGTTTTTGTGTTGTGTACATAAATGTATATCGTAAGCACGAATGTGTGCGGGTGGTAAGCTTGTACATGTTGGCTATTTGTAATAGTACGTAAACTCTCTGCGTTGAGATTCTTCTGCACTGTTATTTACATTCCTGCTGCTGTCTGTTTTTTTTGTGTAAGAAGTCATTCATTTTACTGCTTTGTATGTGTCGCATATGTTTGCTGCTGTTGCTGTGAGCTTATCGTTGACACTTGGAATCCTGCAGTGTGTCAAAATGTCAGTATGTACATATATAAAGTAGTAGTAGTAGTGGAAATTGGGTGGGGGGAGAGCGGGCAGGATGCATACCGCGTGCTCTCCTCGCTTCTAATAATAATTTCGTCGCTGCTGCATCATTTTGGTACTCGCCCCCAAGCGTGTGGCGCGGAAAAGTATGTACTAGTTTGATTGCTTGTAAGAGGCCATGAATAAATTTATGAACTTACCACTGTAGTAACTGTTGTCGGAATATCCGTATTTGCCGGCTGTGCGCCCACCCCCAGCCATTTTTGGTGTAAATTTCGTTCAGCAAAGGAGGAAAGTAAAGAAAATCAGTGTGACGCTGCGATGCGAACAGCACCAAATGAATTTCCACGTTGGCTGGGCTGACTGGCGGCCGAACTGCTATGCGTGTGAGCGCGCTGGCGCTGCTGTCAAACACAAAAAGGAGAATTCGACTCTGCTTGTTGGATATCTTGGAAAATAATCACCGTTAAATATGTGTGAATTTTTCCAAACACACTTGCGTATGTATTTGCCGCCGTAGGCAGTTCCAGGCTCCTGGCTCCTGGCTCCTGACTCAGTGCTATTGGCAATTGCTGTGGTAAGAGCGTTCACTTTTGTGCTGTGTTAACAATCTCGACGAAATGGCTTTGCCTTTGGCTTTGTTTTTGACGTTGTGATTGACGTGCGTGACGACAACATAGACGTTGTAATGTCTTCATGTAGTTGAAAGAAACTTTCGTTGGAGCTGAGCTGCCATGCGTTAAGCAGCCAATGGCTTTTGAAAATATTCGCACCTCCTGCTTCTTTGGTTTAGTTGGCGTTGTCAGACTTTCCACTTATCCTTAGCTATTGGATTGCTTTTATGCGCTTGGGGATCAGCAAATATACAAAGATGATGAATTAATAATTGCTTTTACTGTGATTTTTTTTTGCTTCGTCGATGGTCTGAAATTGAAGTTTGCCTGCAAAAAAATAAAAAATAAAATAAAATTTACCAAAGATGTAGTTATATAGCTACGCATGCATGTATGTTTGTATATCTAGACAGGTTGTCAAATAAGTAGTGCGTACATATGTACATATATAAGTTTGTATAAAGCAAGGCACAAACTAGCGAATAGTCATTAAAGTAAATATGTACAGTCAGTCAATAAAGTTTAGGTACAGCGAACTTTTTACAATACCGGCAACTATTTTTTAAATATTTAATTTTTCGCTAATTTTTTATAAAAATATGATTAATTCTATAACAAAAACCCCAAAAATCAGAGTTTCAAACCCTATGCAAAAATAATGTTCGATAATTTTTTTATATGGAAAAAATATGCGACACCTGCAACAAAAAAAAAATAAATTGCCAAAAATCAATGGCAATCAATCATTCTTGCGCTTTATTATACTAAAATTGAATGGGCTAAAAAATTGCATACTCAAATTTTTTCTAGGGAGCGTAAATAAAAAGTGCAATATTTGAATGAAATTTTGCGGAATTTTCTTTAATTTTGCCCAAGGGTTGGAACTCTGATTTTTTTGCTGTAGAATTAACCATATTTTTATAAAAAATTCGCGAAAAATAAAATATTTAAAAAATAGTTACCCGTATTGTAAAAAATTCGCTGTACCTAAATTTTATTGCCTGACTGTATGTATGTTTGCCCATTTGTACACAAAAATACTCAATATGTGAATATATGTACATACATTTGTATGTATATTTGTGGGTATGTATATAATTAAAAGAACAAACAAGTTCTAATGGAAAGTCCTAAGGCAATACAGTGGTGGGTGGATATTTGGTATAAAAGAAAAAATCCAAGCCTTACAACATCGCTTAAGTATTACCAGCAGGGAATGGATTTTATGGAAATCGCCTTTTTTCTACTAAAGAGATAGAGTATATTCGATTAATAATGCCATATTTGATGTTGCCTTTTTTCGCCTTTTCTACCTTAAAGGCCAGTATGCAGCTCTCCAGAAAAGCGAAAACTCCATATAAAATGACGTACAAGAAATGGCTAAGAAATTTTTTTGTGTCAGATTTTCTTAAGGCAGTACGCAGTTCTTAAGAAATTTGCTACGCTTTCTAGTACGGTTTTCGAAAGTTTTTTTTTTTTTATTTTGAAAAAAGAGCACAAGGCAACCCATGTTTGCAATAGAAATATATGCCCGATTTCTTATTTCAGATGTCAAAATTCCTTGGACCCACACACGAAATAATGGCAATTTTTTTCTTGTCTATTTTCTTGAGAGCTGCATACTGGCAAAGGGCAAGGAAAAGGCCCATATTCCTGCTAATATGAAGGTTTTAAACGTTGCATATTTAAATTGGGCGCCACTTGTATCAACTCACGTCGAGCGCACGTTTAGTACATTCAAGGCTTTTCTTCGCGAAAATCGAATGAAAATACCTTTAAAATGCATCTTGTGGTTCAATGGTGCTACAACGATTGAGATTAAAGTTTTGTGAGTTCAAAACTTGAACGGAGAAAACAGTTAAAGCGTCCAAGTAAAAATCTTTCATATAATGAAACTATGTATGTAGTTCATAGTTTTTTCACTTTTTGCTTGTAAAATAAACATTTCTAAAAAAATTTATTTTTTGATTATTTTTTGGTTTTTGTCTTTTTTAGTGCTTTTTGGTTGCCTTTTTTGCGGTTTCTAGTGCTTTTTCCTGCAAAATCCGTTCCCGGGCGATAATTGTTTTCAAAGTCCATTTGTTTACAATTTTTTTTTTTTTAATATTGTCTAATTTTTTAATCACCACTGTACACCCACTCGTGTTGTCACGACCAGCGGACGAGATTTCCGTAACTCAATAAAAGTATGTAAGTTCGGCTTTTTTTGTACAATTAATTTGTTTCTTAATTTGTCATTTCCTGTGAACGCTCCGCCATGACTACGCTCTCTCGTGTATAGGTACTACACATTTACATCCAGNCCTCTTCTGTTAGTAAATACGCAATTATGTATATATGTATATGTAGAAGAAATTATAGATATTTTTATGCGAATGTCTGCACTTAAGCACTTCTTTGCCTTTTGCTTCGTTAATGTGACGCATAAAGTTACAAATTACTACCCACAGCTGATTGTTCGCCATTTCGTTTCTCTGCTTTAAGTGGTTTTTTTACACACTCCAGTTTATGATGCTTTGTATGAGCTTAATGCGCTGTGTTATGGTTAACTGCGTCTTTTAAATTTTTTATTTAGTAGCTAAGCTTTTAGGCAAGAAATGTCTCCACTTTAGGAGTATGTATGTACACAAGTAGATATTCATAAAGGACGTGGGCAAAGTTAATACAGCTGTTAGGAATTACTTTAAGTCCTAAAGGGATGGGAAAATGGACTAATATTTGATATGCTTGAATGAAGATAGCATCGCTTGGCACAACCCCATCAGCAACTATATCGAATTCCATTACATTAGAATAATTATAGCTTGAAAACTAAGTGAAAACTTTAGTTTTTTTTATGCCCAGCAACTCTTTTGCTCTGTTAGCGCGAGACTGGAAATACTTAAGCATACATGCATACTCGTATGCAACAGTAACAATATATGTAGATAAATAAATATTTTTTTTCATGGGCAGTGCTACGCCTTCGATGCCTCGAAATTTGTCTATCAGTGCGTTGGAGGAAAACATGATTTTAATGAGAAGCCTTACCCAGGGATCGAACCCTAGACCCACCGAGTGGCATTGCATACCGCTAACCACTCGACTGCGGTGGCCGCCACTATCTTAGCCAAAAGCAAAAGTAAAATTTTGTTTAATAGTTTTTTTTTTGGCCAAAAATAACCAGACATTTTTTCTTTTTATTTTTTAGGTATTGATAGTAAAATGGCTTTCTTCGTGATTTTTCAGGGTTTTTCGAGGCCATTCAAGACTTCTTCAGGAATATTTCGGGACTTTTTCGAATTCTTCGAGTTTTACTATTCGGGATTTTTTGGGAGTTTTCGGCATTTTTCGGGATTCTTCGTGCTTTACTTTTCGATATTCTTTCGAGCTATTTTGTGAGGACTTTTTGCGACTATTTGGGGTTATTGCAATTTTTCGGAGCGTTTGTACCGTTTGGAGGGACATCAGCGGGATTACTTTTCGAGATTTTTTCGGGCCTTTTTTTTGGAACCTTTTGGCATTATTCCTATTGCACTTTGAAAGATTTTGCCAGGACTTTTTTTCAAGAACTTTGAGCTTTTAGAAGCACACTCAAATCTTTGTATACTTTTCTCTCTTTATGAATTACTTATAATAGAAAGCATGCCATGAAAAAAGAAATCTCAAACACTAAACTATTCTGTAAGCGCCAATCTATTATTATTATACTCGATATGGTCTCTGCCACGAATGGATACATTTATTTCATATTCACACTTTTTTAGTTAAATTTTCTAGAACAAATCACAATTTTCCAGATTTATTGAATTAATAAGCTATGCAAATTTACGCATTCAAATTTTCTATGCACCCATACAAGCTCAATTTTAATGCAAGGTGATTGCTTTGTGTGGCGCAAATAAATCCTAAAATTCTGTACCTTTAGATTACACGCTGTTCGTCAGAATTGCAGACTTTCGAAAATTACTTTTTACACTTTTTAACGTAACTCTGCTAAGTAGATGTAGCATAATAATATGACTGGCTTGAGAAGCATTTCATTTGGAAAATGTTCTGGTCTTAAAACTTTCATGGTGTTGCAAGATTCTTTGTGGGTGTAGCTTAATGATATGCCGCCATACACCAAACGGTTACGGCACAAAACTTGAAGTTCAAACACTTTTTAATCCCCAAGTGATTAATTTTTCAGTAATATGCATAAATATGTATGTATGTATTTTGTATTAAATAACACTTATAAGCTTAGACTGAGTTTAACTTTTAGTTTGCGGTGCTAAACTTTATTTGGGTAAAGCTAAAGTTACTCGATTGATTTTGTTTTTAATATTTTCCCCCAAATGCTATGTATGTACATACAATCACACAGCCACAGTAACAGTAAAAACAAGTGTAAACGTGAATTGAATGAAAATTAATCAGCTGCGGATACGGTCCGCTTCAGTTGGGTTGATGGTCGGCTTTGAAAAAAACTTTGAAAACTCGAAAAAAATTTAATTGAAAATAACATTGATTGGTTTTGATGCCTATTTAATGAATTCTTGGTAGAGCAAAGTTTTATGTACACACCTCGCGAGCGAGCGAGAAAGCGCCTGCTTAAGCGTTATTCCATTTCCGCCTTGAACTCTATAGTACAACTAATTAAAACTGTATTATTTGTTGCTTTTTAGGGCACCTAAGTGCTCGCAATTTAAAAGCCTTTTTCAATTTCCATTCTTTTATATGTATACACCTACATACATACATATATATATGTTGTAGAAGGACATTGTAAAATGGGTTGTAGGCTTAAGTTTTTGCAGTCAAATTCAATAGCCAGTAACGAACTCCCCTCTCCTCGGATGGCTTCTGAGTGTGATACTTGTTTTTATTTTAAGTAAACCTGTATGTATGTATGCATGTACATATGTATGTATATTCCTTTGACTT